GCGCCCGGCCCGCGGGGCAGACTCGCGCCGTTGTTCCCGAACGCTGCGACGTCGCCCCCCGCCCTGGCCGGCGTCCCTCGGCCGAGGTCTGGCACGCGCCACCCCGGCCGCTGCGGGCCAGGGGTGTGAGGGGCGGTGTGCGCCCTGGGGCCCGGAGAAGAGGTCTGGGTGCTGGGGGCCCGGGGAGATCGGGGAGCACCGCTTGGCCTTTGACCTCCGGCCCTGCCGGGGCGGGGGCGCGCTCGTCGCTGCCCCGCGTCCCCTCCTGGCGCCCAGCGCTCGGGTCCCCGCTCCTGAGGTGGCAGCAGGTGCAGGGAGCGCCTGGTCCCTCGTCGTCCGCCGGGTGGGGCCCGGTCCCCTTTCCCTGGCGCTCGTCGGCTCGGCTCTGCATGCGGCCAGCTCGCGCTCTCGCTTCCTTCCTTCTTCCCATCGTCACCCCGCTGCTTGGGTGAAGGCTGTGTGGCTTTTATTTTACTCCTCCAAATCTCATGTGCCCGCCGGGGTGCCCGGTGTCTAGCCTCTGCTTTTCTTACTTTCCAGTTATAAAAACAGTCGTTGAAAATAGGTCATTTTTCTTCCCGCGCGCCCTGGCCACCTTCCACACGCTCTGTGCCCTACTAGGGAGAAGAATTCAGTGCTTTGGAGTTTGTCATTCCGACATTAAACTCTTCCTCCTCGTGGCTCCAGCCTGGCGATGCAGCTCTGCCTCTCCGGTTGCCACTCTCGGGAAAAGGAGGCGATTAGTGTCGGGTGCCACTTGCCGCGGGGGGCCTCACCCCTGCCGTGTTTTGACACATTTAGGATCTCTTGAAGGGTATTATTTTGCTTTTCCAAATGAAGATGGAAGTTTCAAAAGCAAAAATACTTTTAAAGTATGTTTACAGGTTAATTTTTTAAGAACCTCTAAAGAGTTAACCTTTTAGCAATGGACTTGACTGTAGCTTGGTTGTAGTGGTGCTTATACAGCTATATCTATATATACCTTTGTCAAACTCGGAACTGGACACTGAAAGTGTGAATTTTATCGAATGTAAATGATACCTCTCCCTCCCCCATTTTTCTTCTCAAAAGTGACCCCACTGGTATTTCAGAACTGTACTAATCAGTAATAATCTTGTAGAGGTTTTACTTACTATTTTAAGTGAATGCATTTAACTCAAGAATATAGCAAAATAAAAGCAGCTTTCCTCTCCACGGTTAATACTTGGCAAGGCTTGCTTGAGCCATAATGTATTGTGTCTGTACAGGCTACATGCATGCAGTCCTGCCTTACCAAATTAGTCCCGGGGGCTGCTGTGATTGATATTTTGGTAAAGTTCCAGCAGTTTAAGGAGTTTTTCTCTGGCCCAAGAAAGTAGTTTGCAAAGCTGAGTTCTCAAACGGCTACAGAGCGACCTCTTTATTGGGACTCCAGACAAGCTTGGTTTTTAGCCCTCTGCTACCCCTTCCTTTCCACTCTCCTTTCTCTCTGGTATTCAAAATTGTAAGTTAACATCTGAACTGAAACTCCAGTCTGAACAAGTAAAATGGTTGCTGCTTCTCATCTCTTCTCCAGCATGCTAACTAACATCTTTCAGTGCTTTTTTTCCTGGAATAGGAATGATGTTGGACTTGAGGATTGAAACATTTATGCCTCCGTGTGATGTAGAAATGAAAGTTTTGTTTAATTCTGTCAGTAGAAGTGCATTAAGATTGTCAATAAGGAAGGAACACTTATTGAGCTTCTCTTCCTTGTAAATATTTAGATCGCTTTTTAAATGATAATTAAACCTTTGCTTTAGAGCCTGCTGGAAAATGAGAAGACTGTGAAGGTCATTGGCAAGTTTTTTCCATTCTAAAGTTAAGCTGTTTTTGTTTTGAAAGCTCTGATAACCGGTCACAACAGCCTCCTTAAAGCTTGATGCTCTCACATCTAGAAGAGAAGATGACAGCTAGAGGAAAGTATCAGTATTGGCGTGACAGAGTCTTGCTTACAGTAAATATTTAGTAGATAATTATTGAGTTAAATGAAAACCAGGTAGATAGTTTGTGCTGTGTGGAATTTTAATGAAAATATGGGTGAAAATCTTATCTCCCAGCTCAGGGTTACTCTATTTTTTTTTTTTTACTAGATGCCAGTTTAGTTTGAGGCTTTCCACGTCTCTTAACATGTTTGAATTACATACTCTCCTTTTTTGTTATCACTAATCTGAAGTAGCTTTTAGAAATGTAACTAATAATAGTGTGTCTTTTTTTGTGTAGTTTGATGATAATCTTTCACTGGGAGGGTTTTTATCTTTAGAAACTGGTTTGTCTGTCCCTGGCTGCTGTGCACCATGCTTCTGTTGGGGGTGGGTAGGAATAGTTTCAAGTGTTTCCTCTCCTTGTACCTAAATCCTGGGAGTGGAGCCTAGATTTTGTCGATCCCCGACCCCCCTCCCCCGCAGAGGAATAGCAGTCATTTATTACTATGGCATTAAACATTTTTACCGGAAGAGAGTATATCTTGTGTTATTTTAGAAGTTGCTTGTGACCAGTTATTTGTTTTCTCAGTTAGCTAGCATTCTGTTTGGGCCAATATTTTGATTTGCTGTGCATCCTTTTTCTCTTGCTGTAGTCATAGAACTGTATATCTTGGATATCCGTTTGTTCTACATCACATTGAGCCAGTTACAAGTATTAGACTAAGGATTCCTTGCTTTAAAAATTTTCTAGTTTTCACTTTTGTTGCATTTACAGGTGTATTGTGCTTGGCAAAATGGACTTCTGTACATGGATTTCCTTTTATCGTCTCATTTTCCTATTTGTAAAATTGGAGATGTTAAATATTTTCATCTGCAAATATAATTAATTTACATGTTTATTCTCAAAGTAAAAATAACTATAACAATATTAATACACAAAATATATTTTCTATTACAAAGTAGTCAAGACTTATATTTAACTTAGTACTCTGAAGGAAAAAAAGCTTAATTAGCACAGTTGGCAAGTTAGGAGTTCTGCTTTTTCTTGTTTAATTCACCCAGTAACTCAAGCCGGAGATTAGCTGTGCAGACTCCATTTCCAGGTGGGGCGTTTCCTCCACATTTTGGAACTAAACAGATTATAAAACAAGAGATACAAACACAGGTAGTGACAAATTTTCAACTGAAATAAGTTCGAATGGAAGAATGATTCCAAACGATTATAAAACTTAAACACCAAAGTTAAGACTTTGAAATTCTCTTACTCAAGTCTTTTCCAAGTAGAAGTTAATAATAATCGAGATAAGTCCAAACACTCTTGGCTGACAGTGAAAGACTAGTCCAACTCTGAAGTTTAGATTTGAGAGGGATCTGACTGATACTGTTTACCAAGCCAAAGTAAAATTTTAATCTTTCACATGCCCAGGCTCAGTCATGGGAATACAGAGGGAGGGCAGGAGAGGGTCGAGGGCCAAAGCAGGAAGAAATGCTTTCATTGTTTTTTTAGAAGGTCTAAATAATTGTCTAGAGTATGTAGATAATCGGGTGTCTACATAGAACGCTTAATAAATATGCAATATTTTAGGTTTATTACCTACTTATAGTCCTGTGTTTCACTGTTCACTTTTTTTAGGATATGATTCATTAGAACAAAACAAAAATTCTGTGACGGCGTGGTTTTAAGGTTTCAATCAGTAAATAGGTGCGACTTCGATACCAGTAGTTTTCTATTAAGCACAGTTAAGAAAAAGTAAGGATAGGTGTTGAAAAATACTCATTCGGGTTGCTTTTACCATAACATTTATTTATGACTAATGAAGTTTTTCACTTGTTGATTATAATGTTTTAGTATTGCTACAGATCATGGTCACATAAGTGGTTTCTGCAGTTTTTCTATCCATGACAGGAGTGTGGCCACATTGCAAAGGTGAATGTGGACTATGCGGGATTGGGCGGCAGCTCATTTGGAAGTTTTGATCATGTCCCACGTTTAAGCTGAGGCCATTCCACAGTGCGTTTTGGACAAGGCCAGCAAAAGGGCTCTATACTTTTAGAGGCCAAAGAAATATAACCTTCAGATTGTATGTTTCATGACTGCAAGAGAATACTGTTACTGTGAACTTCAGAGTTGACAGTCACCCTTCAGAGCCTTTGTAAGTGGGTTGGTTTTGAGCTGAATCCATGAAACACGATTATCAGTAAAGTTTGCCATCAGGTGTGCCAGTGACGCTCTGCCACCGACTTGAGTCTATCATCTTGCTTAAAATTAACTTCTCTAAACTTCAGCTTTCTCGTCTGTGAAGCGGGCATATTCTCTATTATAATCATCTCTTATGTGAAATGCTTACCTCAGTTCCTGGTATAGTAAATGCCCAAATGATGCAGTTATGAAGACAGTCATGTTGGGGACCTGCCATAGGACACTATGTGGCAGGGATGACACAGTTTCAATAGCCTAGAAATAGCGTGACGGTTAGCATGAATAACTGTCTAGGTTCAGGAGCTCAGTTGTTGAACGTGGCTCATCTGTCTTGCTGGAGATTAGTGTATGTAGCAGAAGGTTTTAGTTGCTGCCATCTTATCCTAAAGGCTGTGGCATCACACCTCACTCATCTTTGCACTTAAGATTAGATACTCAAAAACTGCACTGAATTAATGAATGATTTCATTTGCTCACTTGGCTTGTAGAAAAGCTAGGGGAGTCTTAGGTGTATTAGTCAGATCTCCTTGAATCGGGCTCCAGAAGGCGGAAGTCCCACTGAACCGTGCCCTTCGCAGAGCACATCTGAAGGGTTTTGTTGACTTAGGAAAAAAGTTCCCCGAAGTATAATATATCTCAGTGGCTTTGTCCACTTTTGAGAAATGGACAAAGGTCTGGAGAAGAGAAGACTCTGGAGGGCGCAGACTACTGTCTCCAAGAATTCGAAGGGTTGCTTCTCTTTTAAAGGCAGAACTGGTCACATCAGGGAGGATGGTGAGCTCTCAATGTAGCACAGATCTCACGAGGCGGAAGTGAAGGAGCAGCCACCGTGGCCAGGAGTGCTGTGTGTCGGGGACAGAGGAGCACCCTCAGAACGGTTGGTCTGTCCCTGCCTCTGCCACCGAGCAGCAGGGAGCCCCAGGTGGTGCAGTTGTCATCAGGGATGACACGCCCTGCCTGCCTCTCACGGGGTCTTCAGCCTGGCATTTGACGGAGGATCGCAAAGCACTTTGGAAGCCATAACTGCTGCATGACATTAGATGTCGTTACGCTCAAAGTGTGGGGTTGAAGGTCAACACACGTAACCCCAAAGGTCTCTTCCAAACCTGAAATTCCATGATTCTAGAATCTAGAATCCTTAGGAGAGGAATGTGGGTGGTTTCAAGGTAATTTCTTGACAGATTACAGCTGTTCCTTTGCACTTAACGTTTTTCTTTTTTTTTGTTGTTAGAAAGATATAATAGGAAATGATTATTCATGATACTAAATGATTCCTTGCTTTATGAAAGGTTTTTTTGCAACTTCCTTTAAATAGGCTCATTTTAATTTAAGTGTACTTGCAACTTAATTCAATAGCAGTTTAAAATGAAAACTATTATGTATTGAAAAGTCAATCAGAAATAGGTTAAGCATCTCTAAAATCATGGATGGCGTATACTAGTGGAAAAATAGCAAAAAATATTTTAGAAAGCAAGAAACTTTTGTTTTTTAAAAAAAATCTCAAGTTTGTAAATGTATATATCTTATCTATATCTGTCTATATGACAGATCAATTTGTCCTGTATAAAGATTGGAATGTTACTTCCGTGAGATTTATAGGTCTACATTCATCCTCATACTTAAGTAGCTCCTGAGTTGAAGTTAATTCCACCTTCTTGCCTGCCTGCTGCTTTGACTCGTTACTTGGAGTTGTGGCACAGCAGGACCTCTTTAGAGATAGAGATTGGAACCATGGGTGCTAGTTAGCCGCTTAAACTGGTATAAATTAGTATGGCTTGACCCTACCACTAGGCCCTGCTACTGTGCAGAGAGACGACATGTTTCTGATACACTGTATAGTTTCAGTTAACATGCTACCATGCAACGCAAAGACTATATGCCTTATCAGTTCCTGGAGGAGAGAAAACATTGCACTGTTAAATGCTTTAAAATTTGGGAGTACTTTCATTTTCCTAAGCCATCATCCTATAATTTGTTTTAATTCAGAATGTAGTAATCTGATTCTAATAGCCTGCAAAGTATTTTAGTGAGATTCTTTTCTTCCTATACAAAGATTAGGCAGGCTCTCCACTCCCTTTAAGTACGTTTTCCAGCTGGGTGCCTGAGGCAGGAGGAAGCCTTTGGGCCATTCTCTCCTTCAGTCGATCCAGCTGTAAAAGTTGGATACATTGAAAAACAGATGCTGGGTCTGAGCTAAGGTTTCCTGGATAAATTGCTAAATAAGTGTAATCAAAAATGTTTATTCTAGTTGTATTTAGTTGAAAGCAACTGAGGAAAAATACAAATATACATCCTTTCCATTTAGACTTTTTGGAAAAAAAAACAAAAAAAACAACAAAACCCACGCAGCTGAATTTCATCTCAGTCTGTTCAGTATGTGTGAACTATACTCTGTAAAAATGGAGTTGGGCATCCAGCACCCTCCCTCACTGCCACCCCCACCATCAGCCAAGGTCCCTAAATGCACTTTATCTTATTTCTCCTGACCTGTTTCTTCCACTACGGAGATTATATGTAAAAGACTCACTTGACTGGTCAAAAGTTGTTGATTACAAGCTCCATGTACATATTAGCAATTTTAGGTAATAACTGAGTATGCATTTATTTTACTGTCTTCTAAAGCCCATTTTATCTGTCAGGTGGAGAGATTGGTCGCCCCCTGTTTGGTCGCCTTTTGCGTGTCCCCTGCAGCCGCTAGCCCGGTCCCAGTCCGGTCCCAGGCATATGGACTGGGAGAGCCTGTCTTGGCATGTGCCCTTGGGTTTAGAGCCTGCCTGTGTGCCAGACGGAACTCAGGATTTTAGGTTGGAAGCCGTGGGTTTGCTACTTGCTGGTTGTGGGCTCTTGACCAAGTCGTACCTGAGTCTGAGCCCCCTGACACAGCTGTTGTCACCACCAGCCTCTAGGTGTGGCAGGGATGCAGGGAGGTGGTGGCAGGACCGCAGTCTGACCAGTGCAGAGCCCCACGCAGATGCTTGGGCCCCTGGTCGTAGTGCCCACGGAGCTTTAAGCCACACTGGGGCTGGCAAGCGCTCTCTTTTCTACAAGAAATGGACTTATTACTGCCTTGTTGCTTTCTAACACCAAAAACAGGGCTGCTAAGAGGGAGAAAGTGTTTTGGAGTGCCTCGCCAAAGTCATTTAGCACCTAACACAAAGGAAGTCTGGCCACCAGGGCTGAAGGAAGAGGCCAGGCCAGCCCACCACCAAGAGTGCATTTCTACAGTTCTTCCTGCCAAGCCGTGCTCACTCGAAGTGGGATTAAAGCCTTTCTTTCCAGACTTACTGCTAGTTTTAGTTACTTTCAGGTCAAGTTCAGTGGCCCGCCACATAGATGCTCTCAGTAGATAAGGAGGGGGGTGCCTGGGATGCAGAGAAGAGCCATTGGTGCATCCTGTGTCCCACAATCTCATCTGCTTGCGGAATGTTCTGGTCATTTCTTATATGTTAGAGCAGATGGGACTTGTGGGCAGTCGAAGTACTAGATAGGGGGCACGGGGAGACCTCTTTCAAGACTGTGGTCTGCTATTAGCTTCTGTGACACCTGGGCAAGGCACTTCGCATTTTCCATGGAACAAAATGAAGGCGTTAGATTAGCTCTCTCTGAAGTATGAACTCTGAAATGTCTAGAGAATTCTTTTAAAGCAAAGCACGGAGAGAATACAGGTATATTGGTTTTTGTGCCCAGATGATTCATAGCTTATGATACACATATGGATATGTAATTTCTATCTCTGTAGTGTCATGGAATAAACATGTTAGTATACACAATAAAATCTACGTAATTCGAAAAAAAATTCTAGAGGAAAATTTGCTTCTACTATAGTTCTGGTAGGTGAAAAGGAACAAACATTTCCCAAAGACTACAAAGCAGATTTTTGTTTGTTTGAGAGCCTCTAAATACTGATATTTGCTACACATTTTTTTTTTTTTTCTGGGTGGAAACTTCAGGCTGTGGCACACGGGAAGGAAGATCTTAGCATCTGAAGGCTAAGCCACTGTGGTGCCCCATCTTATTACTTGATTTTGTTCTCCGGAAATGTAATGTTTTCTCTTTGTCTTTTTTTTCTCTTTGTAGTCAGAAAATGGGTAAGAAGAGTCGAGTAAAAACGCAAAAATCGGGCACTGGAGCTACCGCTAGCGTGTCACCAAAGGAAACCTTGAACCTGACCAGCGAGCTGTTGCAGAGTAAGTTCCGCTCTCCCGCAGGCTCGGTGCTGCGTGGGAGGGTCGCGGGTGGGGCTAAGCGTGATGTCGGCCGTGTGACCTGGGCAAGTTCCTGAACCCCGTTAGCCTGCAGCCTCCTCACCTGTGGCGTGGAGCTGCTGCTCCCTTTTGGCATCATGTAACTATTCACGATGCCTGGGGGGCGTGCCGAATGTAAAGCTTCGGTGGCACAGGCGCCCGGATCGTGGGCCCTGGTGGGCAGAGACAGTCTCGACTGCTTGTTACCAGCGTGGCCTCGGACAGGCTACTAAGCCCGCTGAGTCTCAGCGTTCACATCAGTGGATAAGGCCGTCGGGCAGTGTAATGAGGGCCCCGGGAGCTGTGGCATGTGAAGGGTGTTAGGGTTGTCAGCCCGCGGTGCGCACGGCAGGCCTCTGGCGGGGGTGGTGGTGGGGTCTTCGGAACGGTCCCTTGGAACTGCCCCTCACGCTGTCGCTTCACCTTTACTGTCAGCGATTCAGTCCTCATTTTCCAGTTTTCACAGGCCGAAGCGAGGGCTCTTGGTACAAGGAAATTAAATATCTTGCTTTAGGAAATTAGTATAAACTGGTAACTTTTTTTTAACTTGTCAGTTTTAATTGGTGCTATGTATGTTTCAGATTTAGCTGTGGTCACTCTGTCCACTAACTGCATTTGTCTCATTTTCTTTGCCCCTTTCGTTCAGATTATGTGACAGGCTAAACCCGAAATAAAAATGTAGCTTTCTGTCCCTGACAGAAGCAGGCATCAGCCAAGTCTGGGTCCGGTCCCTCCCTGAGTGCCTGGCCCCATGAGCCCTGTGTCCTCCTCCTGCAGGGACAGTGTAGATCCCCCACAGAGCACTGACGTACTGGCCACTTAACACCTGTCTCCCCCACTGGACTGCGCAGCGTGAGGACAGGCCCTACCTTCTTGTTTTCTAGGGCCTCGGTCAGTATTTGTTGGAGAAAGAGCGAAGTAAGGACTGGCCAACCTTGATGGTTATGGGTGAACAGATACCTGGTTCTTAGTCATTTCCCACATATGCTGCTTTTTGGAGAGTGAAGGGGGCCAAGAGGTTTAGCAGGAGCATGAGGAAGGCTCTCTCTTTAAACCCATACAGTTGTTTGAAAAGGCAAGAGCCACTGGAGGCTGGGCGCCCAGCGCACCACCACCTTCCAGAACCGGCCTCGGCTGCCGGTCCTTCAGTTCTGGCCCTACAGTAACATCTCAGCTTCTTTTTTAGCAATGACTGCGCTGTCTCTTTTTGCGACTCCCCCAGAGTGCTTAATATAGTGCCTTACACATGAATGTGAAATGTTTGTTGACTGATTGTCCTTATGTCCAATTCAGTGGTTCCCTTGGAGAGCCACCGTAATGGGGTTTAACTAGAAAGCAGTGTTGACTGTCAGTATTGCCTTCTCGAAAAGTTCTCAGGGAGATGCTCTGCATTTTAGCATAGCTTTTTAGGTTTTCCTGTTTACAAGTATATTCTGAGGAGAATGATCATCAGCAAGAGGAAGGTAGATGTAAGCTAGGTGCTCACACATGGGTACGGGAGTCACGGTTGAATAAGTGGCATTTGAATGGTTTCAGAGGGTTTACATTCTTTGAAAAGTACACTCAACTTCTCGTGTTTGTCATCATGGCTGTAGTACCTTCGTCCTTCAAAAAGAAGCAAACAGCAACAATAGAACCCAAATCCTCTCTCTCTTCCGAAGACTAGCAGGTGAGTTTGAAAGAAAGATGCTTGAGCACCATGACCTTTGTGTTGCAGAATGCAGTAGTCCTGCACCGGGCCCGGGCAAAGAGTGGGAAGAGTACGTGCAGATCCGGTCCCTAGTCGAGAAAATACGGAAAAAACAGAAAGGTAAAGTTTCTAGAATGATAGTCATATTTTGAGAAGAGCTCGCAGAGACTCGGCATAGGTCTGATGGCGAGGCTGCTGTGGAAGGGGCTGCAGCCGAGGCAGGGGGCGGGAGGACTGCCCCCAGAGCACTCAGGCCGCCCGTTGCCGAGGCGCTGTCGCCTGCCTCGGGAGGGGAGAAAATGGTGAGTTTTACGGGAGAAAATGCTTGTTTCTGGGGGCTGACATGTATTTTTATCTCACGCACTGTATATGTAAATCTGTTTTTCCATACTGTGTTTCCTTTAGGGTTTGAGGTCAGTCCATAATGCTGTGTGTAGTCAGCACACAAGTATATACTGATCAGTGAATGCATTATCAAGATTTACAATCAACTCAAACACATTTTGTTTAAATAAGAGCTGTGGTCCCGCGTCCCAAACTGCGTTTTCGCAGGGTGTACTAAGTGGGCATCAGAACGATTCTCAGCCAGGCTGGCCATGGGGCTACGTGTCCGTGGAAAAAGCCTATTCAACATACCTACTGTTTTTGTTCTGTAAAGCACAGAGGGTAAAGGTTGGTGTCCAGGCCCACGTGGACAGTGGGAAGAGGAGACGTAATAAGGAGCCTGCGTTTAAAAGGATGAGGAAAACCTTCCCAGACTCCCAGTGTATTGATTGTTGGGAAAGCGAGTCTGAGGGTGTGTTTTTATCTGCTCTCTGAAGTGGTAGATTTATTGCTTTCCCATAAACACCTACAGACATGCAACCTTTGGGTTAGATGTCCCCAGATGGTGACAGGCTCCATGATGATGTGCTTGTTTGCACTAAACGTAGACCGTGCTAGTCTTGGCTCACCAAAGACGTGGCTGAGGGGCGTTCGCATCCCCTGAGTAGAGACGCTACAGCCGAGCCGTGGCTGGAGGACTCACTCGTTCTCAGCGAGCGAGGAGTGAGTTCGGTCTTAGACTGTCCCCGACGAAACCCCGAAACCTGTTCTCCTCATTTAGCAGGTGCCTTTGCACACCTGGTGTTAGGCACAACACCCTCTCCCGGGATCCCACTTCACACATCTGGTTGACTGTTAATTATATGGTGGTGACATGGCCCCAGGCCCCTGGGCTGGCTTCCACTCCCGGTCCTCATGTTAATGAAGTTCCTGTTTCTCTGCCTTTATTCATCCAAAAAAAGAGAGATTTTTTCTGCACGTGACTTTCCATCATTTTGAATATTTCAAACATTCCAAAAAGTCCAGAAAATAATAGAACAACACCTAAGAATCTGCTGCCCGAACTGAATACATGGCGAGGTCTCATCCGTCCGCGTTCTCCTTTCCGTTGTTCCCACCTGCTGGTCTGATCCCTTCCCTTCCCCTCACCGTCTGTTTTATTTTGTGTTTGATTTTAAGAAATAAACGTTTCAGACGAAGCCGAGGCCCCGTGCTTTCTCTCCCCCGCCTCCCCTCCCTCTCGGGGGTGGCGGTTTGTCTTCACTGTGACTGTTTTTCCACCTCACGTATAACCCCATAGAAAGTATACGGTAGTTATTTTTAAAATTTCCATAGGTGGTGTCAAACTACTTGTTTTTTAAAACACCTGTTATGTTTTGAGTTTTACTTCCACTGACACGGGCGGGCCATCGTCACAGCTCTCCAGCTTTGTGCCCTTAGGGCCGGAGCTCGCCCTCGCACATGGTGTCTGGCACACGTGTGAGCTACTGATTTTCGTTTTCATGGGAATTTCGCTAAAGCACATGTGCGTGTGAGAGATGGCATGTCGGCCTTCCAGGGCAGCTGATCTGCGAATTTGCGGTGGTCGCCAAGGCTTTTCCTGTCCCCACCATGTCACCTAACAGAGCCTGGCCGTCAGTGTTCATGTCACCTGGGCCCAGTAAACATACCTTTGTAACCCACAGGGAGTTTAGGCTTTCACTTTGCCTATCTGTCTCTAGTTAAGATATGTACTGTGACTGTCTGGTGATTAGTTTTGATTTTTTCAGTGTTGAGTGTTGTTGCTATTTCCTGTGTTAGTTACCGACTGTTTTTTTTTTCTGAGAGTGGTGTGAATGATCTTTGTCCTAAAGGTAGCTCTTATTTTCTAAAACGTGGATTGATACAGGCCTGTCTGTTACTTTTGATGGAAAAAGAGAAGATTACTTTCCTGATCTAATGAAATGGGCCTCTGAAAATGGAGCTTCTGTCGAGGGTTTTGAGATGGTCGACTTCAAAGAAGAGGGCTTTGGTCTGAGAGCAACGAGAGATATCAAGGTGAGTTTGTTCACAAACTGTCAGTCTGGGGGGGGTCTAAGTGCATCTGGATTGTGGTGTCGCATCGAGGGCACAGGACGTGGAGGCAGAAGCCTGGGGCTTGTTCTGAGCCTGCGGACAGGTGGGCAGCGTGCAGCCAATGCTCCCTCTCCTGCCGCAGCAGCCACCTAGCTGGTGCTGGGCTCCGGGCAGCCCCTTCCAGCTCGTCCTCCTTGGGAGCCGTGCGCATAACGAGTGGCGAGGGCCAGTCAGTTCACATTTCTGGGCCTCTGTTAGGGGACCAGAGGACATGCCTCACAGGATTCCAAGATTGAAACACAGAAGGAAGTGGGCGCGGGCGGTTTGTGTGCGGAGCACGAGGGGCCCTGCGGCGGGTCGGACGTGGTTTGGGCTGGAGCCCGGACAGCATTGAGCGTGTTTCCCAGTGCTCCCGACGGATAGCTCAGGGTTGGCGATACCACTTACCGAAACGGCAAACCAGAGCTGATAGGAAAAGAGAAGATACACCTCTGCTGGTGGACAGATGCTTTTCCTCCGCCCTTGATCCTTCCTTCTCGATGGAGGGAGCAGCAGCCTCTCTCTGCCTCTCCGAGAGAGAGGGGGAACTCAGTGTGTTTGACGATTTTGGGAGAAGGACCTGGGGTCGGCCCTTTTCTCGGTGGGAGCTGGCTGCCCCTCACATGCATCGCGCTGTGCTCTCGCCACCCTCTAAGTTTTCCAGGCGCTGGCCACTCGCGGGGAGGCCTGCGGGGCTCCAGCTCTGCCTGTAATGAGGTGGGAGAGTCTGTCTAATTCTGGGATTCTGTAGGTGATATTTTGGGTGACCATCTGTTGTAGTCTTGTGTCTCAGTTCAGAACTTGAGTGGAAGAAATGGGTGTAATTTACAAGGCCCCCTCAAGCCTCCAGCAACGTTTCTGGCCAGGCTGTAGTTACACTCATAAACCGTATACCGGTTTATTAGTTACCTGTTAAACATCTAGTATGTCAACGGTACCTTACTTGCTATTATACCAGGCTTCAAAAAAAACCAGAGTCTCTTCCTTCATGATGCTTATAATCTATAATAAGGGATAAGACACACATAGAAATAATTCAAATAGTAGATAGACATTGGTAAAAGTCAAGAGTAAATAAGATGTCACACATTATTCTCTTGCATCGTTAGTGTGGATGCTGCCCAAAGTATCCTAGCCATGGTTTGTATTCACTGTGCGTGGATTTTTTTAAGCTTTACTGAGGTATAACTGATATGTAAAAAGTTGCGTGTATTTAAGGTATACATTTTGATGAGTTTAAACACATGCAAACACCCACGATACCACCACCACAATCAAGGTACTGTAAGCAGCATAAATACACGTATAGAACATACTGAGAAAATCATTTCATGTTGCCAGAATGTGAGATAATAAATACTTTCGGGAAAAAATTAGTAAACCATAATCTATCTTATGGGCTTGCGCTTTTCTAGTAACTTGTTTTTAAAGACAAGCGTGTGAGGAAGGAATGTCACTCTATCTTCAAACAGTAGTGGGAGCAGTTCACGTGGACAGTAGGGTTTTTGTTGAAGGTGGAAATTTTGTTTTGTGTTCAGAACTTAAAAATATCAGTATAGCAGAGCTTAAAATCATCACCTTTGGGCTTTACCCCAAGTTGTTATATTTGCTTCAAATTAAAGTTGAAAGTCCCTTTTCTGATTTGTCTCCTCAGTATATATTTTATAGTTTTTCTACTGGAAACAGGATTTCAGCCAGCTTCCACTCATTTATCCACACCGTAAATGCTCACGTTTAGAGCACATCTGGTAATTAGAGATGAGGTGCTGATCTGCGGCCTCCAGTTGTGTTTCCTGCGAGGGGGGACTTCTGGCCATAGACATGGTTGGAATGAAGAATGTAATGAGTTTTGATGATTCTACTGTTTTCTTGTATTTTTCCTCCTAGGCAGAAGAGTTATTTTTATGGGTTCCACGGAAATTACTGATGACTGTTGAATCTGCTAAAAATTCAGTTTTGGGTGAGAATAACTTCTGACTGTTCAAAGCAAAGCGAAAATGGTGGAAATACATAAAATTTCATTTTGTGGCACTGAGGACCATATTTGGTTCTTTCTCAGCCAGCGAAATATCCCCCTAAATCCACATTCAGTGTTTTCCATGCTTGCAATCCGACCTAGTAGAAAACTGTCAAAACAAAGATGCACGTTATTTTCAGTGTTACAAGAATTTTTAATAATTTCCATAACTTTAATATGTGTATTTCGAGTACACGTTAAAGAGGTTTGTGGAACTTACGCTGTTAACTTCTGGGTTACTCAGGGCCCTTGTATTCTCAAGATCGAATTCTTCAGGCCATGGGAAATATCACGCTGGCCTTTCATCTGCTGTGTGAGCGTGCCGACCCGAACTCTTTCTGGCAGCCCTACATTCAGACACTCCCCAGCGAGTACGACACTCCCCTCTACTTTGAGGAAGACGAAGTGCGGTACCTGCAGTCCACACAGGCCATCCACGACGTGTTCAGCCAGTATAAGAACACCGCCCGGCAGTACGCCTACTTCTACAAAGTCATCCAGGTGAGTGGCTGGTCTCTCTACCTGTGTAACGGGGCGGGGAAGGAAGGGAAATGGATCGTGCAACTGTTTCACTTGACTTCGTAGCAAGAATGCGTAAACATTTTGCTTTTTACGTTAAAATGTATTTTAGTCCATTGTTTCCATTTTTACAGACATGTCACTGAAATCTGGTTTGAATCTGTCAGACTTCGTCAGGGGCCAGTGTTGATACGAGCAGCACTTGTTCCTAAGTTCTGAAAGCTGCTAAGTTTTTTCGGAAAACAAGATTACAGTGAAAATTTAAAAGCTAGAAAATGTATCTGATACCAAAAAGGGCTCCATGGATAAATTTTCCAGGAAAATGAAGGTCCATATGTGGTTCTTTATGTATTTTAGTAGTAAAATGTTGACAGTTCACTCATTATAATACTGATTTCTTTATGTTTTTCAAAGAATACGGTGCATCATATGGCTTTTAACTAGTTCTAAGTGAAAGTGTCATGTAAAAACCTCTAGAAGGTTGTGAGCGAGGCCTCAGGCCCACACTGATCGATAGGAGGACATCTTCCTCTGAGAATGAGAAGGAATTCGGCTACCTCGGCCGGGCGGTGTGGTGACAGTGGGCTCTGGGGCTGGCCTGCTGGGGTTCGAATCCCCGCAGCCATGCTTGGAGCTGCGTCATCCTGGCCTCTGTGCTTCCGTTCCCGTATCTGTAAAATGGGATGATACAGTACCGGACCCCAGGGTATGTGAGGCCCTCGCTACAGTAGGGCTTGTTAGAAAAATGCTCCATTTACGTTGCCATTTTGTGTTTCGGTCCTTCGGGCCACCACGTTATTGGATTACTTTGTTTTTTATTGTTTTTAGTTGCTTCTCCTCCTGTCCCCACGGTACTTCATGTTAACATATCTTAACCTTTTCTACCAAGATTAAATTCCTCGTGGCCGAGGATAACGAAAAATATTCCTGCAAGACCAGGGACCCAAGCTCGGAATGGCTTCAAAGTCTCATTTTTTTTGTTGCTGTTGTTGGTTTTTGGTCTCGTGTTTTTAAATCTTAAAAATTCATGCAAATGTTTGTTTGCTCTAGTCTTAAAATCAGGTTAAATCATTTCCAGGCCCCTGGTGGTCCTCATGGTGGGGCAAGGGCTTGGGCTTTATGGTCTTTAACGTTTTTTACATTGTGTTTACATTGTATTCTTCTTGAGCTGTTCAGTATACAGTGTGTCCTTTAGATGTTCAATAGATGATAGTATGTAACCAGAAGCCTCAAACCCAATAATTTTGAAAGCATCCAGCAGATCCTCGAATTTTGTTTAATGTTTCACTGTAATGTTGATGAGATGCTATAGGAACTTACTCTAGTTTATATCAATTAGCCTGTGGTAAAATTGGTTTCTGGTAAAATTGGTTTCGTTATACCTCGCTTCCCTTAAAGTCAGGCGGAACCCATCGGGGACAGTAAGTGAGGACTTCCTGGGCTTCATGTTAAGATATAGCACCTGCTGGTGAAACTTCATACTGCAGCCTAACGGTTGAGGAATGTCAGCCCCAAAACTCTAGATGCTAAATTTAGAAACGTGGCTCAGACAGATGCTGAGAAAGGCTTGCGTGGATTGACAGCCCTAAGTGGTGGTAAAATGTCTGTCAGTTTGTGAAAAAGAAACCAGGGAAGAAGAGAGGATTAATGGTTGAAGGCAGTTTAATGGCATTTAAAACTGTTTCAGAATTTTAAACCTATAAAAATAGAGTTCGGCTCCAAGCTGGGCATTTTGCATGGAAACATGTGGCTAGTTTTGTATTAGAAATCAGTGGAAAGTAGGATTTGGCTTAAACCCAACTTTGAAGTAGTGTGATTGTGTGAGAGTGAAGCGCATTATATCAAATTTGACTTAATAAAGATGAATGATAGTCCAAATATTTCTCATCCGTGTCTATGAAAAAGAATTCAATAGATCCTGTGAATAAACTGTTTGTTTCATTGATAAGCCCATCTGATGCACCAGGCACTGCAGTGTGGGGCACCTGCTTGTCCTAAGGTCAAGAGCTCTCTTAGGGACATGCACATGTTCCCGTGTTGTTGAACTTGAATATGATGCTCTTTTAGGTAAATGCAAATGTACAGAGTTTAACAGAATAGAGGCGTGTGTATGAATTTACTATTTATCCATCGCTCTCATAATTTAAGTGATTTGTGCCCCTTTGTGTCTCTTTTGGGTTCATCAGACAATTTGAGAGGCGCAGGGGAATGTAGGTAGATGGAGAAACTCATTCGTGCCTTAACTGTCCTGAATTTATTTCAAGGCACACATCCATTGCAGCAGGCTTCCACGTCGTCTGCCTTACGCTTCAGGCCGGAGTCAAGTTGGCAGTCTTCCTTGAACAGGCAACTTCTCCTGCCTAGCCAGGGCCGTTGTGGCAGATGATGAGAGCAGCCACACTCAAAACGTGCTGAAAACAGGGCCGCCAAGAGAGAGAGGAAGATGTCACCTTTGGTTCTTAGCATCTGTGGCAATTGTGGCTGAATACAAAGAGTCGCTTCTCCCATTTTTCATGTTCTCCTGTGACAGAGCCACACAAGGGTAGCCCCGAGAGATGATTTGCCAGAGATCAGATTGAGCCTACATTTTCCTAACACATCTACATAGAAGTCTGATCATACATAAAGCCTTCAGGAACGAGCATCACCTTAGAGTAAAAACCTCTGGGCATCAGCGTACTTTAAAGATCTCAACACCCTTAAACTCTCAGGCGCTATACGTCAGCGTCCAAGGCCGTTTGTAGCCGTGTGTATAGACGCATGTGCTCGAGCTGCGCTGTCAGGGTGCATTTTGTGACGTCCCCTCCTCTGGTGACAGAGGCTGTATTCTGGTTCCTCTCAGTGTGCGCACAGCTTGCATTCCACGTTGTCCCTTGCAGGTGGCGTGGGGCTCTCTGTGTCAATGTGGGCCCTTCCCTTCCGCCTGGCGGCCTGTGTGAGGTCCTTCTCAGGTAGACCAGCCGCCACCTCCTCCTGGCCTTGGATTTGCTGTCTTCTCTTTGTTTTTAACCCATCGTATCCTCTTGATCATTTATTAATTCAGCAAGTGCGAGGTACCACACTTGGGGACAGAGATGAGGGCCTCTGGGGATGCAGAGATTTTTTTTTAAAGCTTTTTATTTGAAATAATTTTTTAGACTTAAAAAAAAATTGCAAATATGGTACCAAGTTGAAAGCGTGGCCATGACACTGCTCCCTAGATACCATTCTCCTGACCTCATTCCCACTTAAATTTTTCCCTGAAGGCAAATGTGTTCCATATGTGACATTTTTGTTCTCAACCAGCTTCATGGCTGTGTCACATCTACTGACTGAGGGGTGAGGGGTATGAGTGGCTGCAGAAGCGAAGAAGGAAGGGACGGACAGAGGCTGGAGTGGGCTGGAGGCGTTGGGACCCAGCAGTGAGCTGAGATTTATCCCTCGGCTGCGATAGCAGGAACTGAGCAGAGGGTGCGGGGTGAAGGGGAGCAAGGAGGGTTTCTGTTCTCAAGATGTCCATCTGAATTGGCCGGAGGCCTTTTTCCATGGCGCACGTCCCGTCCCCGCGCCACATCCCTGCGAGACTGACAGGGAAGATTAAGGCAGGTGGGAGTGGCTCCCGAGCACATCGTAGGGACCCCAGAGCCTCAGCTGATACCCCTGTCACCTGCCCACCTTGTCAGAGCCACCCTCCCTGGCACTGCCCTAACCCTTACAGCCACCGCTGTGAGGCGGCGTTAGCCCTCTCTTTGCAAATAGGAATCCGAGCTGTGCAGCAGGCTGCCTGAGGCTCAGGGCGTCCACGCTTGGGCTGGGTTGGGGCAGGTCAGCCAGACCCCGGCCTGTTCTAGCCACTGGCTGGCCGGGCCACAGTCTGTCTCTAAGGCTGTTTTGTTCTTAGTTTGGGGACAAAGACGTAGTCTGGTTTTAAGGGCAGAGCAGTCTCGTTTAGATCTGTCTTGGGCTGTTACTTTAAGAAAGCTGGCGTGACTTACTGACTGTGAAGCCTGTGCTCGTGGGTCTGCCCCGCGAGCCGGCATGGGCCCGCCTGCTGCCGGAGGGTTCAGCTCCCTGAAGAAAAGCCCTCGTGTCCGGCCTGTCTCCGCTGCACAGGGGAGATGCTCGCTCTTCAAGGAAGCCACAGGCCTGTGGTTTCCCCGCTGTCTGTGACGAAGCAGGTGGCTCTTTTTTTATTATGATCCTTACTGATTCAGCTTTTACTGATACAACAAATGAGAAAACACCAGAACTCGAGAAAATCAGGCCAGGCTTGCATATTCTCTGGAGCGTGTCCAGTTCCTTTGTCATTTTCGTTAGAGCCTCTGGCTGTCTTGCTGAAACTCCCTGCCCTGTGTCCTTGCCTGTTCTCGATAGCTGACCTTGACCATTATTAATTTGCGTTAAATGTGTGAATGTTGTCCTTATGTAACGTTTCTGATTTTGTAAATTACTCATCCTAAACGTGCATCTACTTTTCATAAACATAGGCTGCGGATAGGTCGTTTGAAAACCTGATGCATGTTTGTAACTGTTCGTGTGTTTTGTACACTGTTACAGCAACTCAGACAGATACAGACCTCACCTCTGGGGACTCTCGTGTTCTTTGTTCCTTTCTTCCCGCTTTTGTTCCAGCATCCTTCGGGGGACTCAGGAAATGAAATGCTTTTTCTTCGTATTCGTGGTCCTAGTTAGGGAAGTCACGTCTGATGTCAGTGGCACATATTCCTGTTTTGGGGACTGAGGGAGGACACCTGTGGAGGACATTTGGCAGTGTGTTCGTACAAGGGGGCAGGCCCAGCAGCCCCAGGCTGTGTCGTCTGGAAGTTCTTCAGGTACAGATTCCGACATCTCTAGTCTGCCGTGTTTGCGAGTGACACTTCTGTCTCCTGTCCTTGTCTCTGCCTGCTGACGCTTCTCCCCGGCAGCCTCCTGTTGAACTGTAGCTTTCCTGCCCTTCCTCATCTTGTTACCTGACTTGGGGTCTCTCTAGGAAAACTTCCAAC